GGTCATTACACTAGGGGAAATCATAGCGGGATATTCTGATACATGATAGTTAAATTACCAAATCCAAAATAGCAGTCACCGTTAAGCAGCTAAGCCTCTCTCTTGTGTTAACAGCAGCCGTGTAAACATACACCCTTCAGCTGGGTGCTGATACCAGCCAGGGCATCCATTTTTCCTTTATCTAATAGCAGGTAATGATTTTTGTGCAGTCAGTTATTCCCACAGGATGTGTTTTGTTGCCGTACAGCAAAAACGGGACTATAAGCAGAACAGGTAATGATCTGCAGGGAAATCTCCTGATAAAGTGTAAAGTAATCAAGAGTGTGTAAGCAAAGTTTACTGAGGACCGGCCGTGAGGTTAAATTTTAAGCAAGTCGGTGAGAATAAACAGAGCAAGGAACAGAAAGCAGAGAACTGACTCTGGGTTATCATATACATGCATTTTGTTAGGTAACATACAACACAGTGCTTAGTGTAGTATATAACATGTATTATTAACCATCCATTGCATTGGTGAAACAACTAGGAAATGCAAATGTCAGCAGCTACAGAAAGAAAGAAAGATCTTGTAGGTGTTTTTATTGGTTTCATTTTTTTTCAAACATCTCTTTATTCGTTTTTATGCATAGAAATGACACTTAATGAACAAGATAGCCTTTACATACTATCAGCAAAACAAACAAAACAGAAAAAGAAAGAAAGAAGAAAAGAAAATGGAAACACAGCCTAAATAATATTCAAGTGTCTTCATTCTCCCAGAAACCATTAAGCTCCAGGAAGTCGTAAAAGGTTTTCCAGATTTCCCAAAACCTATCCAGCTTGTTTTTAAGGAAACATCGTATCCTTTCAAGAGCAAGGTAGAAAGTCATCAGCCATTGAGAAAGTCTTGTATGTGTTTTTTTAATCTTATTTTACCTCCCAGAGTCACTGAAAATATGCAAAATACTCAGAAACCTTTTGTAAGGCACTGCCAACCACTTTTGTGTGAGGACTGAAGCAGCTGCCATAACATTGTTGTATACAATTAACCATTCGCCCATTTATTTCAGTTTCCCTTTTCAGTGGGATCATGCCGATCAAAACAAAGCATAGAAAATGAATCCACTTCGATCATTGTTTGATTGGATAGTTTAAGAGGAAACAATATGAGCAATAAAAGACTGTGGGTACTAAATGCTTCTCTGTAATGCAATATAAAAACCTGAGCTTCTAAGCATCATTGCACCTCATGAGAGGGATGTGTACCTCCACAGTGCTCAGACATTAATTTATTACACATGAAATAGTAATATACAATGTATACTGATTACACGATACAAAGTGTTGTTTAGTGAGATTTTATGGCACTGCTAAACTGATTTATTTGTTTTCACTTATTGACAGAGCCAGGCTACCCGTTTCCGGTGATTAGGCTAAGCTAAGCTAATTAGCTTGTAATTGAACTTTGGGATTTTACCATTTACATGCACATAAACCTATACAACACACTAAAGGAAAGGGGAAATCCCAAAAAGATTAAAGTGCCTCTGTCAGGGTGAGGTTTCAATTGTTTTCCTACCTGTGGTGAATCTATTAGACTCCAACTGGTTTGTATGAGCCTCGACTGTTTTTAATGGCTGCCTCCTTTGAATGTGGTTTTCTCTTTGACACAAAGCCATTCAAGTGTTGATGTCATGAGGTGGGGTCACAGCAAGGTTGGGATATAGTCATCATTACATTTTATTATCATGGTATACTTTACACACCCTGATAATGACACAATTCTAACTATTTCTTACATTTTCATTCATTCATTTCTACCTAACTTACCTTGTGCATTCACTTGTGCACAGAAGCAATTGAAAATGCACTCTACTGTTTAGAAAACGGCTAGAATATACAGATAGCTCTTTAGCCGTCAGCCTGTTGTATAAATGACAACCTTAAGTGAAAACTACCAAATCCCTAAGCACACTGAATTATTGATCACTTGGAAATGCCATAGTAAGCCTTGTGTGGTCCCACAAGAAGGCCATTAAAGGCAAAGAGCTTCTCAAACCCATTAGGAGGGAAATGTTTATTGTGGTAGTGATGAACAGTAGCTTAATTAAGTACACATGTAATTTTGTTTGCAATTGATTTTCTTAACAAAAGGTTCTCACATCCCAGCTGAGATACACATCAAAAGTCAAACCAACTACTATTCACATCGATGCAACCCAATACTGTAAATTCACCATTATGGTCTGATCACAGTCACTTATTTATCTAGCAAGAAACCATTAGGCACAGCACACATATTCTCTATTTATTATATATTGAATGAAAATCCACATATTGACTACGTTCCCTGTGGAAATGGATTATGTGTTGTTCATTTAGCTTCTAATAGTACCAGGGCCCTACGGCTCCTAAGCCTCGCTTCATGTAATGCAAGACAAAATGTGATTCATATTTTAGGGCCTTTACAGCCTCATCTGTAATGAGTATTGTGGTAAGAGGAAACGAAGGAAACTACTAATGTGACTATTGATGTCGGGTGAATCGTGCTGCTTCTGCATGTAAGAGTGTGAACAATTAATTATCAGGAAATGGATGTTGGCATGCAGGGATGTGGAAGAAGCTTGTTTGAGGAGATTTCTAAGCTGATCCTTGTTTCGGGTTCTTGTTATTGATCCCTGATTAAAAGGATGACTACTCTTGTGTGTGCAGCAGTTCTTAAACTACAAGGTGTACAGAGTGGTACAAGTTTGTAACTGGGTAAATCAGATGAGATGGTGAGTAAAGAGAGGACCATCAACACGTGTGTGCTCACAGATGTGCCAAAGGTACAAAACTCAAATATGTCAATCAACCTATGCTGTATTCTCTACAAATGGACATAATCAGCATACAGCATACATGTACTGTAATATGCCAAACAAACATACTTAGAGTATCTAGCCTTGTGCCGATACACAATCAGATCGCAAATCAAGGATTGAAAGAGATAATTGATGATTATTTTCCACTGCCCATATGAGGGTGATTTCACGATCACATCAAATATGTTTTAAACATCTCTCAACTATTTGTACCTGGTAGAGTGGCATGTCACCTGACAGATACACGAATACTGAACCACAGCACAAAACACAAATAAGGACAAGCAGTCTTCCATTGTGTCACTGCTTGTCGGCGTCTCAGCTCCATAGAGAATTCATGGGCACACAATCTGTCTGGGAACTTTGTTATTCAGTATATTTGGCAGCACTGAAAGGAATCTTTTTATTTTTCTTCTTATCCCCTTAAACCTCAGGAGAGGATGTGTGTGTGTGTTTTAGAAAGTTGTGCTTTACCATGGTATCACCCACATCCCTTTCCCTTCATCTGCTTCCTTGCTCCTAACAAACACTACCTATGCACGTTGGCTGCCTGTGCATTTGGGAATACGTTTTTGACTTCCTATTGGGAAGGTATTACTTGGTCAGACTCCCAGTTACTGTATGTTCATCCCATTCAGTATGAATCATAACAGTCCATATCACCGGTCATCTCTGAATCTGAACAAAAGACATTCATAAACTACTAATTTAAATACTTTTTGTAAGAAACATAATTACCTACAGGTTACATTTGCTGTCAACACAATAAAAACGTTGTAAATGAATGTGTCTACTTCTTCCTTTTCTGTAAAGTACATGTTAATTGTGCGATAATAACGTTTTTTTGTTATGATTATCAGTCCTACATACACTTGTACATCTAATTACACAAAATGTGAGTAGTGCATGGTCCAGCCTGATTACCATAGAAGTTAAGAACAGATGGATTAATCTCTCCATGGAAAATGACCCAAAAATGTGCAATTTGCTTGTTATAAATGGTAACTGCACTGTGTATGTGTTGGGCTTCAGGGATGCTTTTATTTAATTTAAATTAATTCTTAGCTTATTATGTTTCCTCTGTATTCAATTTAGCAGATTTTTGTGTTTGAGTGGAAGCAAACGAGCGACTGATTTGAAGAATCAGTGTTGGGATGTTGTGGTCTCTTAGATAGTGACCTAGTTTAGGCAAATATCTCACTGCACTCGAAATGCTGTTAAAAGAGTGGGTTATTTGTGTTCATAGCTAGGCAAACAAAGACAAGTGATACAAAATCAAATGTTTTTTTAGTTTACATTGTTGGAGAGAAAGAGACCAATACCCTATACCCACAGTATTTAACCACTAACCACTATTTAAGAACTAGAAAACCCCTTGGATTGAAAATACTTCAAATGCATTTTTTATGTGAGGGATTTGTTAGTTAGTTATCTTGCAAGCCAGTTTGAAAACAATGAGTTTGGATTACATTACCTGTTTGAAATGGCTGCCTGGCTTCAAAGCTGTACGGTAATTGAAATGCCACTGTTGTTGACAGAAGTCAACCCGTCTGTTATCAGGGAGGGCCACTCGTCGGGTTGCATGAGGAACAGCAGGGTATTATTGTTGGAGGAATGTGGCAATTATATTTCAGAAGCTGCTCCTTGAAAATATAGAGTGCCGAACTCAGGAGCTGAAGTTTATCTTTGGCGTGGTTGTATGAGCTTGCTGACCCTTAACAGCTTGGCAAACACTGAACATGAAACGTATGTTTTTGTTTTGGTGGTGCTGTGTTTTTAAGGTTTTTAATGCCTAAAAGTGAGAAGCTACCTTCTTTTGAAGTCTGCAAAAGTTACGTGAGAGTGAGTGTTATTTACACACAGAAGATGATTTTACCTTGCACTGCTTGAGCATTTACTAGCAGTTAGAAAAGGTCGTGACTCCTCAGTTTAAACCAAGATTTTTCATCGTCTGATACAACACAGTTTGTTGTAGTCTGTTCCATCTACATATTTGAGATAAAAAAAGGGATAAGAGTTGGTAACTGCTTAAATATGTATTGAACATTCTAAATTAGAAAGAAGAAAATCCAACCTAAACACTACATCCAAACATTATAACATGTATTAAGTCTATGATGGTCTAATCTGAATCTTTCTCCTCTCTTCCCTCTAAAGGTTTGATATCCTCATAAATCGTCACCTCACGGTGCTGGTTCGGACGTCATCATGGGTCGCTGGGATCACTCATCCCTCCTGTCCCCTGCCCTGAGGGTAGCAGTCTTCACGGTGATCATTCTCCTAAAGCTCGATCCCTCTTTGGCCGGCACTCTGCCTGAGCAGAGTTTCGATGGCTCCGTTTTAGCGGTGTCCACCAACAAAACGGAATGCAGCATGGCTGAGCCATGCGCAAAAGGGGTGGTCCTTCCTATTTGGGAGCCTCAGAACCCGTCATTTGGTGACAAAGTGGCCCGGGCAACAGTTTATTTTGTGGCTTTAGTCTACATGTTCCTTGGCGTGTCGATCATTGCAGACCGTTTCATGGCATCGATAGAGGTCATCACGTCTCAAGAAAAGGAGATCACTATAAAGAAGCCCAATGGAGAAACCACCACCACCACCGTTCGGATCTGGAACGAGACCGTCTCCAATCTCACCCTCATGGCTCTGGGCTCGTCGGCTCCTGAGATCCTGCTGTCCGTCATAGAGGTCATAGGTCACGGGTTCGAAGCTGGCACACTGGGCCCCGCCACCATTGTGGGTTCTGCGGCATTCAACATGTTCGTCATCATCGGGCTTTGCGTGTACGTTGTTCCCGACGGCGAGACGAGGAAGGTCAAGCACCTCCGCGTGTTCTTCGTCACGGCCACCTGGAGTATCTTCGCCTACATCTGGCTCTACCTGATCCTGTCCGTGATCTCTCCCGGCGTGGTGCAGGTGTGGGAGGGGCTGCTCACCTTCTTCTTCTTCCCCATATGTGTGCTTTTCGCCTGGGTTGCCGACCGCCGCCTGCTGTTCTACAAGTACGTGTACAAGCGCTACCGCACTGGAAAGCAGCGTGGCATGATCATCGAGACCGAGGGAGACCGCCCACTTCCTTCCAAGGTATGTTTGGATTAATTAACACTAATAAACAAAGAAGCACATAAGGCACTCTATGTAGGTGGATGTGAGTTCATTAGTAACGTGTATCTAAAACAATTATCTCTATTACTGAATGGATTCCTGCCAAGGTAAACTCCTGCCATGAAGCATATCAAGCTACTTCAAAGACACACAGATATATTTTAATTATTTTAACTTTTTAATTTCCTGTTATTTACTATCTGGCGCTCTTTGTGATGTCGGTGCATTGCACTGATCTAATTGCCTTTTTAGTATCACGCTATGTTTAATCACCACTCAGTTAATTAAAGTCTCTCAGTGTCAATGTTTGTGTAACCTTTTCTTTAATTTGATTAATAATAATCAGTGCTACATTAGTTCATGAAGAGCACTTATATTTCAACTTCTGGCAAAAGAAAATCATTGCCCCACCGTGTCCCTCATGTCAAAGAGGTAAAAAATAACGTTTTAAATTGCCATTGGGCTCAAAAGCTTAATGAAATGTTGTCAATAAAGCTGTATTTAAAGGATAACAGGCTTTAATTGATAAAGAGAGCAAGCCCCTTATCCTCTGAGAAAAAAAACAATGGCTGATATACAGTATTGTATCTAATATAAGCTAGTATCTGCCTGCAGTCACACATATATTTCTCTAAAGAAACATGTCATGAAACTGTAACTTAAAGTGGACCTATCATGCTATATTTGAATAATATAGAGTAGGACCATACCTATATAAGGCATATTTATACTTTTTATTGTTCAAAATACCAAACAGATCATGCATTTTAGCCATTCCTCATTTCGCTCAATTTAACACTGTCTTTTCATGGGCGGATTCTGTGAGAATAGCACCACCTACAGGCCTGGCATATGTACTACAGCGTCTCCAGCGCTTTCCAACGGCAATGTCCGTGGCTGTCTCCTCCTGATTGGTGGA